GGGAGGAGCGGCTTTGGGTGGAGGGGTGGCGGCCAGGTCTCGAAGTGCCCTGAAAAGTCTACTTGCTGTGTATGTCAGCTCTTGGTTGTTAGACTTACGTAGTGTAGAGGAATAAATGCCTGCCTGAGCTCTGTGGTGAAGGAACTCTCCAGAAACGCATCTGAGTCCCAAACAATCAAGCTTCTTTCCCTCTTGGTTTTGTTCTCCGTGCCGTCACTTGGATCAGGCTGCCTATCCTTACTCGGGCCTGGGAACAGACTCCCTTTATGGTCCTGCGTTGCTCCTCTGGTTAACTTTCAAGTGGAACAGTTGTGTAAGATAAGTGTTTTGTTCACCTGAGGGTGTAGATGTGTACACAGTCCTCTCTCCGATAATGGCACCATTGTGCGGAAGCTGCAGGGGCAGGGGAGGGCCCTGGCCGGGAGGGCCGCCCACACGTAGTGTTCCATGCCTCCCGCGGGCCACCGAGACCAGGTGCCAGCTTGCTGAGCTCTCGGAAACTTGGGAAGCAGCAGACAGCTCCCTTTGAAGCCTGGTTCTGGGTCTTCTTAGAAATACGTGGGCTGCCTCCAGGCCACGCGATGCCTCTTGGTTTGTTTCTAGGTGTCACCCTCACTCTCTCATCGAGCCACGGACCAGGCGTTGGGATTCCCTCATGAGCCCATTCTCTGGGGTTGCGTTGTCCAGATTTCTCATCCTGGCCCAACCGTTCTTATTTTATTGATTTATTTTTGAATATTTATTTAATTTTATTTATTAATTATTTTTAAATTTGATGTAGGACACATATGCTCACTAGAGAAAGAGAGAGAGAGAGAGAGAGAGAGAGAGAGAGAGAGAGAGAGAGAGAGAGAAAGTGAGAAAGCAAGCAGCCTGGTTTGGGACTTGAGTTACGGTTGGCAATGTGGGAGTCCAGAGCCTTAACCACCAAGCCACCCACTGGCCACCTGGCTTACCCTCTTACTGTGTGATTTTTGGCAAGTTATTGTTTTTCTTTCCAAGTCTTAGATTCCTTTTCTTAAAGCTGGAGAACCCACCTAAGATTGGGAGGATTACATAAAAAAGAACTACAGGCTTGGCTTATTTCTGCTTGCACAGTACGTACTCAGGACTGTTAGCTGTGATCTTTACGAGTAGTCAGCTTCTGTGACCTTAGATTTAGATTCTCGTGCGTATGAGGAGTTCGGAAAGAGGATGCATTTCGGGGAAAACACTGCTCACACTCAGGCTGCTTGGCTTGCCATGTCCGTGTCTCTCGTTCAGTGATTACAGAAGCTTCTCAGCAGGGGGAGAAGAGGCCCTTAGAAATTGTTTATCGGGGGAGCAGCAGGTGGTTCATGTGGTGGTTAAGGCGGTGGACACTCCCACATGGCCGACCTGGGTTCGAGTCCTGGAACCGGTGGCTTGCTTTCTCACTTCCTCTCTCTCTCACTTTCACCCTCTGTCTCTCTCTGGTCAAATTAAAAAATCAATGAATGAATAAATAAAAAATAAAATAAATAATTATTAAAAAAAAAAGAAATTGTTTATCGGGTCTCTGTCATCCTCTCACCCACCGCCTGCTCGCACGTTGGTCCATGTTCCACGGGCCTTCGAGTGCCTGCTCCATGCTCTCCCTGTGTTAGGATTCGGAATCCAGAGAGCGGCAACTATAGATGCTGTCTTCAATGTATCTTAAGTAATGATGAAGGCAGGTGGGAACAAAGATTTTCATGTGGAGTTGTAGAAAGTGCAAGCATATTCTGTGGGAGTGCTGATGCAGAAGGCTGATTCCAGGTTATCAGAATCTCGGCCGTGCTCACCCCCAACCCCGCCATCCAGCGTTGGCCCTCCCAGGCTGGGAAGGCACACAAGTCTCTGGCCTCTTGGTTCCTCTGTCATCTGACCTTAGCTTCTGTTCTCACTGAGATCCGGCCGAAGGTGCTGCTGTTTTCCCTTTTGGTGTCCTTTTGTTAGGACAATCCTGTGTTCATGTATTAAGTCATGAAAAGTTGGTCATTTCAACAATCCAAAGTATCTAAATGTGAGTAGAATGGCATTATACGCTTTATGTATTCGTACATGAATTTAAGTAAATATGATGCGTTCGGATTATTTGTTGCTCTCTCAGTGAGTTTATTTTTAGTACCTAACAATGCTCAATCAAACCGATGATAGGAGCAAAAGGCTGACGTGGAGGTAAGTCAGTAATCCTCAGTGCAGGCAGGTTAAGGTTTTCATACCGTATCGCTCTGAAGAATATTCAATGTATGCTAATATCTGTGCCTGAAATACACGTGGTCCAGAAAGGGGCAGCTGATTTTCCATGGAGGGGCAAGGTGAGGCTCGTGTTCTTTAGCTCTTGGAAGTGACTGAATAGAACTCGACTCTCCAGCATAGAAAACGGAGGAACATGCGTGTCCTCCTCACGTCTGAAACGATATAGCTCATGCTTAACATTTTCCTGCGGACTGCTCACGGAGTCCCCAGTACGGCAGCTGCTGCCTGCACTGAGACCGCCCTCTCCCTTCCCCGCAGTCCCAGTGCCACCTCGCAGGCACTTGGGTACTTTTGAATGCTTAAATGTGCTACCTAACTTTTCTTTTTAAATATTGATTTGTTTTTTTTTTTTGTAGAAAATGCATCCGATGCAGATTTATGGCTCCTGAACAGTTGCACTGTAAAAAACCCAGCTGAAGATCACTTTAGAAACGCCATTAAGTAAGTGGAAGTTTTTGTTCCCCGTTGTTAGTAATCCAAGTAAAACTTAATATTAGAAAACGAGCTTGTAAACGATGACTAGTCAGTATAAATATTTAACACCGGGGGCTTCAGAAAGTTCATGGAGAATGCGTGTTACAAAAATATAGTGCTGGCATTTAAAATGATTTTGGCACTAAAATAAAACTCATGCTTTCATTCTATTTTTCTACATACTTTCTGAAGTCCCTTTATATTGGGTCATTGGAAAAGTCACGCTGTGTCTTTCTATGCAAAAACTTTCCTGACCTCCAGTATATGTACTAAAAGAAAGTTTAAGTTGTACTTTTAAGATTAAGCTGTTTTCAACTTTTCTGATAAAGGATGAAACTTTAATGGGGGCCTTCCCACTAAGTGATTTTGAGTATTTGTCAGGTGTTCACTGGTGCTCTCCGAGAACCCAGTGCGTGCTTTCTTGAGGGTGTCTGACCCTGCCCTTCCGCTGTAGGTGCCACTGTCAGCCCCAAGGGAGTGGAGTTTGTTGTGGGAGGTGGTCATAGAGGTCCTTGCTTATTCCTTAGTTCCCTCGTGATAACGAAGAATTCGGGGCATGTATGCACACGTGCCTGGCATGTTTTCAAGCCTCCAGATCTTGGACTCCAGTCGTGCCATCGGTTATGTGTGATCCAGCATAACCTCCATGCTGCCTGCTGGCCTGGGTTTTGTTTTATGTATTTTACATGTACATGTATTTATTTGCATATTAGTATATTATATGTAATTATAAAGTAATTATATGTGCTATGTAATATTGCATACATGTTGTATATTATATGTAATTTGTACCATTACATTTATAGATTATATTATGCATAGATCTATTTATCTAAGGTGTCGTGAAGGTATTGGTAGTTCACAGTAAAGCGATGATGCTGGAGTGATTTAGTGAAGTAGTAATGACATATGAAATGTTGTCATCTCAGCCGAAAGCTAGTGGTAACCAGCTCGGGTCCTTCTCATGCACTGTTCTGCTCGGTTGAAAGATAATTTAGAAAGAGTATTACATACGCTTAAGTATCTTTTAATGGCTTTGAAGGCTTTCCATCATCATAAGTAGTTTAAGGTAGGACTTAAACTCATGTTTGATTAGTTTCCAAACTAAAAATAGTTTATAGAAGACGCAGTGGTCCTTACATGGGGAGGTCGTCAGCTTCACGTGACACGTGCACCTCGCAGGAGTCCCTGTGAGGGATGACCTGCTCTCGTCGCGCATTTTCTGTAGGTTCTTCCCTACTTGTCACCGTCTCCTAACGAAGGAGAACAAACTGAGTTACACGTTCAGTCGTCCACACGTTTGTCTTCGCTCATCCTCCATCTGCACCGTCTCCCTCTTCCCATGAGCAGAAGGTGCCATGTAAGTCAGGGAGCGTCTGGAGCGTCCCTCCTCTTGCGCCCAGTTGCTTAGCTCAGATTCCAAGTCTACAATGACGGGGTGGGGGAGGGGGTCTGTTTCCTTCTCACCTGGACCTCTTCTCCGTGATTGCTTCAGTCTGCTGCTCGCTCCCGGGTGATGCTGTCTCTGCTTCTGCCCTTGTCTCCTTTCCTGTGTATTCTGGTGTTTAGGAGCTCCTTGTTCTTCTGTATCAGTTCATTTTGTCTCTCTGGAGCCTTCAGGTACAAGGCCATCTCATTTTGACAGGGGTAAGGAAAGATGACGGAGGGGTTTACCATCTTCCATGTGATTAACACAGTGCTATTGATTAATATCTAAGGATTGCGAATTTATGACAGGATAGCCATAGATCGATTTTTTCTTGTTTTTTTTTTTTGGCGGGGGGGGCTATTTTCCCTAGAGTTTTACAGTATTTATATTAATGTTCTAATGAATAAAAGAATAGGCATTTTTATTGAAGAGTTTTTTGCTATAGGGCACGTGAGCTTGCCAGAAAGACAGAGAGAGACAGAAAGCGAGAAATCACCCCCCAGGGGGGGTGGCCACGCTGCAGTCCCTTCTCCTCCATTCTCCTCTCGGGATCTTGGGCATGCACGCACATGCGCCTAGCGTGAGTTTAAGCCACTGGGTCCACTGCTGTCATGTACATGGGAGTCCAGCGACATAGCCACTGCTGGTCCCAATAGTAGGCATTTTAAGTAGCAGTGGCAGAAGCAGGGATGATGGGGGCTGCCTTTTCAACTTTGGAATTCTACGTGTTGTGCTCTTAGTAATTTTGAAAACGTTGTTAGCAAGCCCGTGCTTGCTGAGAGTGTCCCATCGGACGTGTACTGTAGACCAGTGCGGCTTAGACAGTACGGCCCTTAACCTCAGGGATTCTTGAATAAATAAGACAGATCAAATGTTTCACAAAAATGAAATTTGCTCTTACTGAGAACATTCAGCAAGACAACTCCTTCGGTTACGGCTCCACAGGAATGTGGAATCTTTTCCGTGGCACCTACGGGAGGTCATTTAGAGGTAAGTAAACACATCTTGTGTGTCCCACATAAATGACAGGGAGAATGGGCAGCCTGCTTTGATCATGGGCTGCCGACCTCTGACCTGGTGCATTGTTAACCCAGTGGGCACGGTGGTTTAGCCACACTGATGGTGGAGAGACAGGTCGTGAGCCCTTGAGACTGCCTTGTCCTGTAGAAATAAATATTAATGTCGAAGAGATGACCTAATATCTGAACGAGAGTACTGGAAAGAACAATTGAAAATCCAGGGAGGAATGGATATAGATGCGTGTGTGGCATAGGGTACCTGCTTTGTCTGCCACCTGTTCTCTGTAGGAAAACTTGTCCAACGTTCTGCTGAGCAAACATATAAATTATGGATTGTCATTCCTATTATGAAAATTTCTTTGCTTTATTTAGCTGTATCTTTGCAGAGTTCTTTATAAACTGAAGTTTGGAGAAGTACTGGAATATTATTTTAACTTGAATTTGTAAAATAAATTACCTCCAAAAATGCTGACTAGTTAATAACAAGAGAAAGCTTCCCTTTTTATCCTGTTGAAAAGACAATAAAGGCTCAACTGATCTATTGTTAATTGGATTTACAATCCAATCAAGGTTTAAAATTTAATTAAAAATTAGGGTTTTTCTTAAGCTAACATTTAAAATTTTAATTTTTAGTTTAAAAGATTTTGGCATTAGAAGGTAAAAATCACACTGTGTTTTTCTTTGGCCTTTTGTAAGAAACAAATTAGATCACACTAGTTATTTTGAGTACACTTTTTATTTTTAAGGGTTTTATTTGGGGGGGGGGGATAGGGCCATGTGTGTTTGCCAGAGACAGACAGACAGATATAGAGAGAGGGAAAGGAGAAATCACCCCCTATGGTGGATGACCATGATGCAATCTCTTCTCCATTCTCTTTCTCAATTTTGGACATTCACATGCATGTACCCAGTGTGATGTTCAAGCAGCCAGTCTGGGGCTTGAGCTGTGGTGGGCCATGTGGGAGTCTAGGCCTTAATCACCAGGCCACCTGCTGGCTCCAAGTACATTTAGTTTTTTAATTGTACACTTTGTGGATTTCTTGTTGAACTTTTTATTTAAAGTTACAATTGTAAAGTTTAAATATTTTATTTATTTTTTAGTTTGCTATAGGGTGCCTGCATTTATTGGGGGGAGCAGGGGGGAAGAAATGAGAAGTCATCCCGCAGTGGGATGGCCACACCACAACCCTTTTCCTCCACTCTCCCCTCCAGACTTTGGGGTACACATACACATATACGTGGTATGATTTTTCAAGCTGCCAGGTCTGGGTCTTGAACCATACCATCAGCTGTAATCTTAACCTCTCTGCTATCCAGTGGCACATTTAAACATTTTAATCTGAATTTTTAAATTTATGACGTGTTATTAGTTCAGTATCAGTTTTACATCACAGTTTAACTTGTCTTTAGTGCATATAGGGAATCACTGTGTGGTTTTCCCAGTCACAGTCTCATTGGTTTAGCTCCCCTTCCCCACAAAAAAGTTCCCTTTACTCTAGAGATGTAGTTTAGAGTAGTGTACTATTTGACTTAATGTGTATTATTGGGACTAGCAGGTGGCGTGGTGGTTAAGGCGCTGGACTCCAACATGGCTGACCATGGTTTGAGTCCCAGACGTGGTGACTTGCTTTCTCACTTTCTCTCTCACTCTGTCTCTTGTCAGAGTAAAAAAATAAAAATAATAATAGTAACAAATGATTCTACTATGTAGTGGCTTTCCTTTTCTCAGGAAACAGATGCCATTAATAGACCAAGACTGCTTGTCAGCTGTCTTAGGAATAGTCGCCCTAGATTGCTGTGAGTCTCTTGTTGGAGGCAGGCTGAATGTTTGCAAGAAGGGGAAAAAACACTAGTATTCAAGTGTTGCATTAAAGGACCCTCTTAAGCCATGCTGTTCCGCTTTTCATGTTTTGTGCATAGATTTGGGGAGTGTGCCCCTCTTGTCCTGATCGAGGCAAGCAGCTCGTTGTCACAGCTGGTTCACAGGCTCTCCCATGAGGGGAGTAAGGAAAAGGCTAAGAGTTCCTCTCCCTTTTTGGGTTAGCCACCTGGTCATGCTGGCAAAAGCTCTGCCGTGAACACCAAACCTGTACTCCCACCGAGCTACGTGAGCTGGGCCAGCCTTTGGATATTCAAGGATCTCATCTTGAGTCAGGTGGCCACTCAGTAGATGTTGGCTTGATTAGCTCGAGCTGATGCTAAAAGAAATTTAGCATCATTCTGCTGTCATTGGACCCCGTCTCTGTTAATGCCGCATATTATAAATTCTGTAAGTAATGTAACTGTCGGTATCCCAATGCCGTCTTAAATTTAGCATCATTCTGCTGTCATTGGACCCCGTCTCTGTTAATGCCGCATATTATAAATTCTGTAAGTAATGTAACTGTTGATATCCCAATGCTGTCTTATATTTGTCCAATTTTGGCGAATAAGCAAAAAGCCACCAGATATACCACCAAAAATTGGGAGTGGGAAGCGAACCTGCTATTGTGGGGGAAGAAGAACAAGCTTTGAGCTTT